TAGGGTTTATATACCTTTGGTTTTAGGAAGAGGCCTCTGGTTTGCTTCTATTTGCAACATCATCTGCAGCTCTTTCCATTTCTGATCAATGGAACTATTTATACATTCAAGGCCCAGGAAGGAGTTCAGTAAGAAACTCCAAGTTAATGGGAATTAAATATATGAGTAATAATTGTACCATTTCTAAAAGAACATGCAAAATCATGAAGATCACTGTCCACTTGATTACTTAGTAAGGACAACTAAATGCAAACAGAACATACATTTTCAAAGGCATCAAGGCTTTTGAAGGTGATTTTATGCACTAGGGAACAGAGCTGGAGTCTTCCCCTGAGATCCTCACGAGGAGAAAGTTGACTGGCTCCCTGGACACATTCAGCCAGGAGTGAAAAACCTCTTTGTCTTGTGTGTCATAGCAGAACCAGGGAAAGCCACTGTCATAAGAGAGCTTTAAGGCTTTTGCAGAAGAGGGAGAATAAAAAAAAGGTTTTTTGTTTTTTTTAAAAAAGGTAAGGTAAAATAAAGGAGGTAGAGAATAAAGAAGAAAAATGAGCAGGAAAGTGGCTGAGGCAGGAAGTGAAATAGAGTCATCAACAATGACTGTGGGGGTGGAGGGGCTGAATAAAGCAGAGGGTGAGCTGGGATGATACTCAAACACCCGGGGAGAACCGATCTATTAAACTCAGAGCCATAGCCCTTATCCAGAACTCCAGAACTTGCTGTTTCTTGATCTTTTTCCCATTTGACTACCCTCTATCTGTTCTAATATTAAAATGTAAGAAACTTCTGATAAAAGTAGAGACTCAAGATTCCATGATACCTTGAACAACTGACGTATGTTTATAAAGTATCTGATATGTAAATATGATCTCTCTAAATATATGTATTTGAACAAGCACTATGCCTAAGGTGTGAGACTTTGGTCACACTTTTTTTTATCAAAGTGTCGTTAATATATAATCTTATGTTGGTTTCAAATGTCGATCACACTGGTTCAACAGCCCCCATGATCAACTCATACTGTGATTGCAAATTACTGGTCACAAAACTATTCTGTATTTCCACCTATTCCAACTCTTCTTTATCTTTGTACTTGCCAGGGCCACAAGAGAGTCCAAGAGATTAGCTACAGCCAGGGCTGTAGTCAAGCCAATTCATTTTGGAGAAGGGAGAATAAAAGGAAAGGGACTTACATTTCTACCAACTTGACCTTCTCTTAAAACTTTGATAGTTCTAGCTCATGTTGTGGCTACAGAAGTCTCCTGGCACCTGTGAGCCAGTTTCAGTATCATGAGAACAATGATCTTTACTTACTCTTAAGGAACAATGAGCAATGAATCCACTAAATAATTTTTTAATTATTTTAAGAAAAAAAAGCCAACACTAATTGTTAATAGATGTAAATTGCTGGATTCATCACATTCACACTGATCAGGGAAATATCACCTGATGACCTTGGGTTTCCTATACCTCTGGTAACCACCTAAACTGTCACTTCCTCAGCCCCTGAGAGCGCTCACAGGCTGCTATGGCAACAAAACCGCACTTGGCTGGACTGGGTGAGCAACTGTCTCAGCCAGGTCTCCCCTAAAAACTGGAACTCTTAGGAAAAACAACTTTGCTTTCTAGTTAAATATGATCTTTCAATTCCTTCCCTTTTTATAGTTTTTAAAACAGTAATTTACTAGAGATTTGAAGTCCATGTGGCTAAAAGCAATCATTTTTGGTTCAATTGTTTTTAATGGCTTAATTATTTATTGCCCTCTCTGGAGTTTTATCTGGATCCTGGAGACTGAGGGTGAGACTAACCTTATCTCTGATTAACTACCCTGAAAGGGGGGTTGAGAAGTGCTCGAATAGGTCCTTAACAGAATTAAAGTGCCCAGTAACACTCCGGCTATTCGTGGTGAATAAAATTTAGAGTGCAAGCCAGAGAAACGCAATTTAAGTCTCACCTTCGCTGCACTGCATTTTCAAACATTGCACAAGGTGGTAAAACTAGCAAGACATTCCGTTTAAAAATAAGATAGAGGTTCCTTATAAGACCAAGGGAAAGGAAAATCACACTACCCACCTTCAGTCCACATTCGTTTGCACAGCTCCTGATAAACTGCTTTGCAATTTACCTGGCACAACAGCCAGTCCTGTGTCCCACCTGCCATGGTAGATTTCTGAAACTCATGGTGTAGAGAAAATGGAAATTCCATGGCCAGGATTCTCACCTGACCCTGGTCTGCTTGCCCACTGCACAATTGCAAAGTTCACAGGTGCAGGCTTGCACACGTGTGGACAGGAAGTTGTTATGGACTCTATATAAAGGCCTCCATCCCGTGCCCTGCGACTGCAGGGCCACGAGGTAGGGGACAAGCCTGGAGGCAGATGTGCTACATGTAGACTTGCCCTGAGGTAGATGGGACTCTAGCGTTTGACCTACCACCATGAAAATACTGGGTATAAACCCTTTCACTCCAAGAACGTTCCATTGCCATTTTTTGGTCTCACGGAATACAGAGTGAACTTGCCTGGGGCTGAAACCCTCAGGCAAGACATTTGGCTAGACACATGGAAAAAGACCCAGGTATCCACTAAGTACTGGCACTAACCAACCCGGTTAGGAATATAAGGCAGACGAGGGTTCATTAGAGAAATGCTTTGCTGACCATTCAAAGTATACCATATTCATCTTTTCTGAGAGTAATCTCCCCACCCCAATTCCACTTCTTAAGTTTGAGAGTACGTATATGTAAATTTTACCAAAAATAACACAATTATAGTGAATTACGTGCCCAGGGCCCATCAGAAATCGGCTTGATGCTTTGGTGGCGCCCTGAGGTTCCAGGAATGGAAGTCCCAAGTCCTAACCTCCACTCCTGATTTCCCTGGGACAGTATCAGCTGGCATGACTGATACTGTCAGGGACAGTCCTTGCTCGAACTGCCAGAGATGATTGTCTGCTATTCTAGAAAGCAAAAAGTGCTCACTGATTCTGCATTCAGGCCTAAAGCCCCCAAATTAAAACTAGGGACACGTGGAGAAAACAACAGCCAGAGATAACATAGGAAGTCTCCCAAGAACAGACTACCTACACACAGCAGGCCAAGTGAAGAAAGGCCAGACCGCAGTATTGTTTGTTGGAGCAAATACTCATTTGTTGTTCCTCTTACCACATAAATATACTCAATGCTTTTATAGCAAGATTCCAGGTTGATCCCAAGAACTGACAAGGGAGTATTTTATTACTGAAGTAATGAAAAGCATCATCAGTTACAGACAGGTTTGCCTCTAAGTAGGAGCAGTGGGGGGAGCTTCCAACATCAGGCCCCAGGGAAGCCCCTTGTTCAGGAAATCCCACCTCTCAGGCAAAGCTTTATTTTCTCTTCAATTTGAAATCCCCAAGTCGAATTTTAAAAGTGACCCCTTAAAGAACTGCAGAATACACAAACAGATCTTGTGCTTTTCCTGGACCCTCTCTAGCCCCCAGGACGATATCAAATTACAGGGCTCTTCTTCCCGGATATTCTCTCTTTTACTTTTCTTTTTTTAAAATATCACACATGCACCCTATTGTGTGTCTATCAATTCAGATTCCTTGCAAAAGCAAGCCACCCTGAAGTCTCCTAAGACTCTAGGAGGAACTAACGATGCAACCTGAATAATAATGAAGCCACTGAACAATTTAATTACCAGAGGTAGCCCTAGAGACTGCAACAAAAGGGTTGAAAGCCTTCTTCCACAAAAATGTGGCCACATGCTCAACTGTGGGACCAATTACGGGGAGTTCAGAAGAGATAAGTGCACAGGTGCACAGGCCAGTTTAAGCAAATGGAGAAATTTGCACAAATCCTCCCTGGAGAAAGGACACTAGGACAAAGGGTGACTTGGGGAAAAAAAGGAGTTAGAAAGGTGACTTGGAGAGTTTCTCCTGTAAAAGGGCTCAAGGTTTAGTTAACTGTCTTCCATTCCTGATTAATTGAAAGTAGCACTTTGCTGTTACGTGTAAAATAACAGCAAACTAACCTGCAAAGAAAGGCTCTCTATAGGACATTCAAAATAAATTCAATGAACTTTCGATAAAAGTTCTTCAAAATCAACAGTTAGGATGGTTGCTTTTCTCTCTCACACATGTTCAAAATGAAAAATTTAAAGTTCCTTCCTTAGGATGCCTACAGCTTCATCTAGACGTTATGTTTAAAAGCCTCATTCTACTGATCTTTTCAAGTGAACTTAATAATAAAAGGCCTTTTCCTTGCTTTGGAGGAAAACAAAAAGATGAACTTTTCTAAAAAGCTCTCAACTTCCTTAGGCCTTAAGAATTAAATGCAGGTAGCCCCACAAGCTTAACCATTGCAAAAGTCTCGCTTCTTGAACAGCAAACAAGAGTTTGCTTTTGAGCGGCAATACATTATCCCCGCCCCGCGCTCACTCCATGGCAGGCACTGCCAGTGCCCAGCAACTGCCATGGCCAGGTGGTGACACTGGGCAAAGATAAGGGGTCCTAACAACCGCATTTGCCTAGATCCCAGGAAACCCGCAGCCACTCGGCGACTCCCGTATCGCCTGCGCGCATCCCCCTGTAGCCCACGTGGACTGCCCCAAGACCCCTCCCGCGGCGACAAGGGGCAAGACTGACACTCGCAGCTGCCGACGGCCCTGCCAGTCACGCTGCCGCGCGCTGCCTTTTTTTAGCCACGATATCTGACCCCAGCTTCAAGAGCGGCATTCAGGGAGAGGTCCCAGGGAGCGCCGGGCGGTCCCCTCCCCCAGCCCCCGACCCTGCAGCAAGCTCGGGGTGAAGGGTGGGGGAGGCAGCGGCCCTGGAAGAGGTCAAAGAGCGCGCGCTCCTCCAGCTCAGACGCTTCCCCTCTGCCCTCTCCACCCATCCCCGCTACCCTCTCCGGCGCCCCTCCCCACCGCCACCCTGCAACTCCGTTGCCCTGGGTCCCCTCCAAGTCGGGGCAGACCGGAGGGACGGGACCCCGGCGGGCTGAGGAGGCGCTCACCTTCCTCAGCGCCGCTGTCCGGGTCGGCGTCCGAGGACTCGGGCCCGTCCCCGTAGTCCGCCAGCCCCACCAGCTCGTCCTCCTCGTCGTCGTCGTCGCCGTCCCCCGGCGGCGGCTTCCCCAGCACCTGGCTCATAGCGCCCGCGGGTGGCGGCGGTCCCTGGTGGGGGCCAAACCTCCCCGCCGGAGGGGCGCAACGAATTTCCCGATTAGGGTTTTGTCCGGAGGTGCGCGGGGGGCGGCGGCGGGGAGGGCCGCGCGTGCCCCTCGGGGTCGGCGTCCAGGGCTGCGCGCGGCAGTGCCGGAGCCCCGGGAGCCCCCCGCCCCGCCCGCCCGCCGGCGGGGGAGTCGGCCGGAGCGCGGCAGTTCCTCCCCGAGCAGGGCGAGGGAGACTGCGTGACCCAAGTCACCTGACACTCTGCCACACACACACACACACACACACACACACACAAACACACACACACCCGCACGGGCGCGCGCGCGCTTTCCCCGGCGCAGGCACCGATCGGTGGGGCTTTGGGCCGCGGCCGCGCGCACCCGGGGGAGCAGCAGGACGGCCCGGGGGCTTCCGCCCACCCAGGAGACACGGACACACGCCGGAGCCCTGGGGCCTCCGCCTGCCGCGCAGTCACCCACCGCGGTTGCGCGCCAGGGGCCCCCACGCGCCCTTTCTGCACGTGGTCCCCGCCCGGGGGGCGCCCCGGGGGCCTGCTCACTCCGAGGACCTCCCACGCCACCCACCTCGGACTCACGCACCTTACCTTGGGCGGCCGTATCCAGCTTTCAGTCCCAGGAGACGATGACGGTCCCGAGTGAGCTGCGCCCCCCTCTACTTACCGCCGCACCTCCCCACCCCCACCTCCAACACTGCCGCGCCCAGGCCCGCATCCAGAGCAGCATGCCTTGCACACCCGTGGATGCTGAAGCGCCCCAAGAAGAAAACTCAAGGGAAACGCAATTCTGAGGAGCAATCTCCATAGCAATTGCCTCTTAGTGCGCGTTCATGGTTCAAAGTGCTTCCCATCAAGAATATTTAAAAATCAGGCCTACCCAAATGCAAATGTTCCTGAAAAAAAAATAATAACATGCCTCGCGGATGCCTAGACTGAATTATAATTCCCCTGCAGCTTTTCGGAAAAGGTAACACACTCAGGGCCAATGCACGGCCACCTCCTCCAGTCTCTTAGTTGCCTAGACTGTAATCTCACATCTCAAAATGTTTCAAGGCTTTGGGAGCGGATGGGTGAGGAGGGATAATTCTTATTTAGGAACAGCAGTAATGTGGGGGTGAGATTAAAACCTGCATTCCTCCACAAGCTTTTCACCGCAGGACTTTCTGTACTCACCCTTCCTGGATACTGCAAAAAATCACGTGGACAGACTTCCTTCTGTCAAGCACAAGAAACAAACCAGCTGGCCAGCATGGTGATCAGGTCCTACAGGTGCCAGCACCTCAGCAGGGAGCAGAACAGGAGGGGAGCTGAGGCCTGAGACTCCTGGGGCCCAAGGGTGCTGCCTTTAGGGAGCATGTACTGAGCACCTACCAAATGCCAGGGGCTGCGCTGTGTGTGTGTGCTCAGCACAGTGTTTCTGCCCTGGAGGAGCTCTCAGTCTAGCATGCCTTGGATTTTGTGGTAGTTGTGGGTGTTGAGGTTGGTTGCATACATCTTCTAAGAGGTGGCTGCTTCTAACTGGAAAGGTCTGGGGGTTTTCCAGGTGGAGGCAGCATAGTTTGGTATAACTATCAGTCAAATTTCTTCCCAGGATGAGAACAGATGGCACATGCAGAGATGTTAACGTACAAGGCTTTAAATGGAGGCACAGATTACAGGGGTGTGAACAGAGTTTGGGGACTCAACATAGATCAGTAACGCTCGGAAGAGATTATCACTCCAAAACTAATGGGAGTAAAGGAAGGGAGCAAACGCTGGAGGCGGGGCAAAACCAGGAGCTGATGAGGCAGCAACCGCTGCCAGAACCACCTCACGGCAAGGAGACAGAGCTGGAAGAAACAGCTGACCTCTCTTCTCACCCTACATTGTCCTGGTCAGACCCAGCTGGAAGCCAGAGGGCAAGGGAGACTGGAACCTAGTCCAAGACACAGAGATTGGGTAGGGAGGCCAGAGAGAGGGTCTGAGGGTGGGATGGGGGGTGTGGGTGTGGGTGTGAGCAACAGGCTCTACTTGCTTTAATCAGAAGAAGTTACTTGGGGTAATTTCCTAGCTTTCATCCATTTTATAAATGAAGTCCCAGGGTGGAAGAGCTCTCCCAGAGTGGGTTTAAGCTACCCCAGAACAAACCCACCAGCCTGGAGAGGCAGTTGAGCTGGTCTGAGTCAGACTGCAGAGGGCTACTTATGAGCCCTAGAAACCAGTCCAAGGTCAGCCCAGACCACCAAGTCATCCCTGGGCTAGTTCCTGGAGTGTTTAGCGGGAAACACCAATAGCATATTGGAACACTCTGTAAGATAGTTGAGAATTGGACTGTTCTTGAGAAAAAAGGGAAAAGATTCATAAAAATATCAATAAAAGCCAAATCCTTAATTATGCTCAACTTCAAAGTGAAAGAGTCATAAACAGGTTTAAGAGATTCTAATTCATTGTTATTTCAGAAATACACAGTATGGATGAAGTCTGAGTAAACAAGGAGAAAACTTTATTGCTTTTCTTCTTTTGCTGCTATTTCAGTGCTGTCAGCTTTCAAATAAGGGATATGTTGAAAAATATCTTAGACATAGCAGTTCTTCAATTTAAAAAGCACATCTTTCAGAATTTAAGTAAAAATAGAAAGGCACTAAAAATGGAAAGCCTTTGAGAAAGTGGGTGTGGGATCTGTTCAGTGCCTGGGTTACTGCCTTGAGCTCTCTCTGGTCTGGCCCTCAGACTATGTCTGCGATGTCACTCTGGGAGAGCTTTCTCGAGGACGTGAGGATTTTCTCTGGGCTAAGTATGATTTTTGCTGTTGTATGTAACTATGGCAGCTTGCCGTATACACGGTAGGTGCTTAATAAATGTGTTTGGAATGAGTGAAAAAATAGAAGAGAGAAAGATAGATGGTACATGGCCAGCTTTCTACACAGTCGTGGCCTTTTTTTGAGATAAACTTGAGGAACACAAAGAAGCCAAATTTTGTACTTATTCTAAACCCTGGGAAATAGCAAAGTGAGGTAAACAGGAACTGTGAGCTACAGGAGTGTAAGAGCAGCTGACGTGCAAGAGATGACTTTTAGGCCTTCATCTCTTCAGGACTGCCCGAAAATATGAAGGAATTACTGTTAAATGCTTATTTTATTTTTACTAACTCTCCCTTCTGAAAAACTCTTTTAACTTTTAGAAATATTTGTAGCATCATGAGATATAAGCTTTTTCTGTTGCCCATTAAAAGGTAAGCAACTATTTACTGAGATTTTCCATGAATGAGACACCGTTCCAAAATAATATGACCTTTAAAATATTCCCATTAAGTGAGTAATGTTATTGCCCTTACTTCAAAGATATGAAAACTGAGGTTAAACAATTAGACCAGTGTACCACATGGCATGGATGTGCAACTACTTGGGACTTTGCAGGATATTAGACCTTATTCCTATTTAATGGCTGAAGGCTGAAGTCAATTACATTATAGCCTTAAGCTGAAAAGGAGGAAAGGGAAATAAAGTGCTGGTTCTCAGTCTCCTAGGTAAAGAAGCAAAACACACATCAAACACTCAAAAATGGGTCTGTTGTCTCAAGTTATTTAACTTACAAAATTCACCAAAAGGAAGAAAAAAACACGGAAAATCTTCCTAACCAACAATAGTTAGAAAACTACCTGTCTGGGTCAACTATACTTCAGTAAAAAAATAATATTAAAAAATAAGATTTTTAAGAGGACAAAAATTACTCATTATAATAAAATGGTTGAACATCATCAATCCTTTCATCAGGAACACAAATAGCCAGTGATTAGTACCCAGTGGTTTTTATGGCTATATTATACTGCATGCTAAGCTAAAGGATAATTAAGTGTTATTGTTTAAAACTTGAATTTTAAAGGCCAGAAGTTTTGTGCCCTTTATTTTAGTGAATTATTTTGCTGTTACCAATTAGATGTCTTGTGACGAAGAACATGAGAGCTATTTCAAAGAGACCTGTACAATTTAGGCAGAATAATTACAGTCCTGGATAGGGCAAGCAATTAAATATAGCCTGCATCCTGCATCTGAGGGTATTTTAAGGCATTTGATGGCATTGTGCCTGGTTTGTGGGATTCACATGCTGAAAGCCTTTTAGGCTTTCTTTTTAAATATGTATTTAAAACCATCAGTTCTCTCTTGAAGCTAACAAAGGAAAGAGGCCTCTCCAAAGTCTTGCTGGACTCCTGCTAATCCAGAGAAGCCAACAGAATTTTTCAAGAGGGCATTAGGAGAAGGTCTGGTTCTCCTAAAACAGTTGATGACCCGATGAAATCATTAAAAATAAATAAATTTCCACTGGAGCAATCCATTTTAAAGAGATTTTATTAAAACGATGTTTTGCTATTTTAATAACATGCCTAAGGTAAAATGGCCAAACAGCATAAAAGAATATCCAGTGAAATACTAGTTTTTCTCCCTCTCCTGATCTAGTTTCCTGGCTCCCCTCTACAGAGGGTAACCTATTGCTTTTAAATGTGCAAACATATTTGATAGCCATTATAGAGACGTGTATTAGACATTTTTTTCTTTAAGAGTCAGCAAATTTTATTTTAACTGAACATGAAGACAATTTGATTATCAGGGCTGTGCTTTGAAGGAAATGAAGAGAAGGAGGTGAAAGACTAACTGTGGGGAGACAAGGAGCCTGATTAGGTGGGGCAGCCGGGGAAGACCTCTCCGAACAGGTGACACTGGAGCTGACCATGAGCAGGAGATGGCAAGGTCAAAGTCAGGATGGAGGTGTGCAGGTGTCTCAGCAGTTGGAAAAGCCAAGGATAAAAGAAAGGGCTTGGTGTTGGACAAATAAAAATGTTGAGAGAGGGGGTAGGTGTGAGAGACAGGTAGTCTTTTTGGCTAGGGTGAGTTTTAATTTTATTCTAAGTGCCACTGGAAATATTTAAGAGTCTTCAGAGGGAGGTGAAATGTGTGGTCTACTTTGTTAAGAGTTCACGTTGATAGATGGTTTCAAAGATGGTCTCAACCATCCAGACCATCCCAAGTGCCCTTTTGTAAATGTGACTTTGCCACTCCTCGCACCTATTTTCCCTCCTCCTGAATGTGGGCAGGCCCCGTGACTTGCCTTAACCAACAGAATGTGGCAAGAGTGACAGTGACACTGAGCAACTTCTGAGACTGATTCATGAAAGGCTCTCCTACTTCGTTTTTTCGCTTTTTTGGAGCATGGAGCCACCATGGAAAGAAGTCTGCACTTCTGGACAAGCCCTCTGGAGAGGCTCCGTGGTCAGAAAAGTCCTGAAGGATGCCAGAGCACAAGGATAGAGAGGCCCCAGCATTCCAGCTATCCCAGCTGAGAGGCCAGACGTATGTGTGATACCATCTTGGATTCACCAGCCCAAACCGCAGCCATGTGAGCAAGACCAGCTTACACCCCACAGAACACAGACTTGCTGTTCCAGCTGAACTCTGTGCTGCCAACCCACAGGATCATGAGTGAATACAATCATTAGGATTTGGGGTGGTTTGTTACGTAGCAGTCAGTAACTGATGCTCATATTCTGGCTGACATGGGGGAAATGGATCACAGATTTAAGGGCAGAAAAAACAGGAAGCCACTGCAGTCGTCCATAACAGAAATGAGTGGTGACAGTGGAAAGTGAAGGAAGTGGATAGATTTGATATAAATTTCAGAAGTAGAAAAGGGTTATTGATAGCTTATTTAACATGGGCTGTCAGAGAAAAGACTCCTCCCAGGTGTTTGGTTTGAGCAACTAGATACATAATAATGTCATTTTTTAAAGTAAGTAAGATACAGATAGGAACGGGATGGGGAAGGGGCAGGACATGGATCAAGGTTCTTGATTTCTAACATTCTAGTTACTGTATGTTGCCACAGGGCAATCTCTCTCAATTTTGTAATTTCGGCCATTTCTTAGATGTCTGTCATGTTGTCTTTGGAGTAAATAATGAATTTTTCCAACCACAAGCCCTGAATGAACTGAAGGTGACATGTAATTATTAAAAAAGAAGTCCCAAACTGGTGAGATGGAACTGCTACATATGGACTTCTGTAAAAAAATTAACTTTTTATTCATATGAACTTTTAAGGGCAAGGTTCTGACATAAATGGTGCCATAACAGGAGAGTAAGAAAGCTCTTGACGTTAGAGGCAGCCCTGCAGAGGTCTTAACAGCTCTGCGTGTCTAGAGATGAGTTTAGCCAACCCCAGCTTTGGCTAGGACAGTTACACCAACTTATATAATCAAAGATACAAGAAAGCAGATTCTGTAACACAAATGACCTTTTAAAAATCTCCGAGAATGAAATATAGGAATGAGAAAATTAGAACTCCGTTCCCCAAGCCAGTGCTTCCCCACCTTGTCCAGCCATAGTGCACGTTGAAAATGATAATATTTGTACGGTATATGGACCTTAAAGGACAGGCTGCTTGCAGCCAGAGGTGACTGGTCCAGAGACCTTGCCTCCTTCAGGCCCTACCCAGCTGCCCCAAAGGCTGATGGGATCAGTAACTTGGCCAAATCTATGGGCACATTTGGCTATTCATGGCATACAAATGGTGGTAGCAAACCAGAGGGGAAGTTCTGCTTAAACCACTGAAGATGGGTGCACTGAACATTGCATACAACATATACTCACTGATACAAATTATACCTTCTATGAGTAGAGGGACAAGGGGTGACCTCTGATCATATAACCGGTGGTGCAGCTCAGAAATTATGTCGTATGCAGAGGATCCTGGCAAAGGTGTCTCAGGTATTACAGGAGGTAATGACGGATTTCTTAGAAAGGGAACTTGTGTTTCCTTCTCTGTACTTCTTACTTCATTCTTTCCTCACTGCACCAAAACTGGCTTCTGTGCTTTTCCCAGCAGATGGCAGGAGACGGCCGCTCACCCTTCCAGACCCGGGGACAGTGGGCCCAGGCTCTAGAACCAGGCTACCTGGCTTTAAATCCTACCTTGCCCTCTAAGTAGCTGTTTCACCTGGACAAAGTTACTTAGCCTCTCTGTGCCTCGATTTCCTCATCTCTGAACTGATGATAATGTTGTATACAATAGAGTTGTGATAAAAAAACAAGGTAATTAAGAATAAATCCCAGAAATGAAAAGTTGTGAGGTTCAGGAGTCTCCTTTCATTAGCAGCCCAAAGATGGGGTGCTCACTTGGAGATGAGCGAGGACGATCTCTAAGCAGCTCACCCACTGTTTGGCTCTCGTGAAGCCCCTGTGCCAGGAATTCTCACTAACCAAGGTCTGAGAACAACGGCAGACCAGTCAGCTCAAGGAGCATTCACATGTCTTACAGGCTGGCTTGAGCTTTCTGTTCTTTTCAGCAAAATTAATGCACGATTTCTCTGACTGCCCATACATTTAACTTAAAACTCTAGTGACTTTAGGGTGATAAAAAGCACCCCCCAGAGGCATGGAGCACTCTGTATCTTTGGAAGTTTATTGAAGGGACTAGCTAGGAAAACAATTTAATCTGGAAAAGTATAAGAAAGAAATGATCAGGTTGAAAGGTCATGGAGATATATATCTCTTGACTTTTGTGTACTCACCTAGAACTCAGCGGTGCCTGGAAAGAAATCCAGAGCTACTAACGGGCAGGGAAAGGAAATACGTTAACCTAACAGCTCCAGCTGGGGAGTGACAGGTATAGGGAACAAATCTGCGGAAGGCCAAAGTACACTGGGAAGAGAGGTTTCACACCCTGCCCAGTAGAACTACAGCTGTGACTATGGGATGAGGGAGGTTCTGCAGCAGTAGGGGAAAAACTGAGCACTTACCCTTCCTTCGTGTGGACAGGAGCTGAAGGATTTCTCCTGCCTCATGCCCTCTGAAGTGAGAGACAAATATCTTGACAAAAATGAGATCATTATGTTTCTTTACCCCCAGAAACCAGGCCTATTTCAGAGGGCGTAAGAAAAATCAAGTTCAAAACGAGCTTGTCCCAAACCTCAGGTAACACTGTGACTTCATTTAGGGCTCCATCTCCCCCTCCTCTCTCTGTATGTGGGGAGCAGCTATTCATCATGCCTCTTCAGAAGGTTGATGTCCCATTCATTCATACATTCATTCAACAATACTTCATTGGGTGCTCACTTTGTTCAGGAAACTCTTCTAGGTACTGAAGAAGTAACCGAAAACAGACCAGAACGGACTGAGTCAGTGGTACTGAAAGTGTGATTTGAATATAGAAGTTAGCAATGCTCAAGGCATTTGTCTGTTTCATATGGGATGGTTCCCACTAACTACTCATAGACAAGCTGTCTGGTTTCCTTTCCCCCTTCCAGCTCTCTTTTGAATCTGTATTGAGACAGGGACCATGGGCTTAGAGTAGGGTGAGGGCCTCTGGAAAAAAACAAAAGCAAGATAATCCACTGTGAGATTTGCTTTGGCCTACTGGGGTACCCAGCTTATTTTTCTAACTTTACCCAAGGGCTGCTTTTCTTCCTCCAGTCTTAAACAAATGATTTGTTGCACCTTAGGCAATGTAGCAAGCAAGCCCAAAACAACATAGTAAAAACAGGAAGCATTCCATCTTAAAATCCAATTAGTTAAAAAAACTTTCTTACCAAACAGACAATAACTCAGCCCACCTTTGGGAGCAAAGCAGGCAGCCTTGAGTGATATGCTCCCAGACCAGGAAGCTGCTATCCTGGCAGGAAATCAGCAGTAACATTCTTGTAAATAACCAGGAAGACTAATAAGTTCTTATTAGGTATTTGGGATCACTTAGCAAGGTACATCCCTAGGCCTTTGTCTCTCAAATGCCTATAAGACCCCTAGACAACGCACCACCCCGGGGCTCCCTTGTCCCCTCCTGGCCTGAGCCAGGAGCTCTGTCCTCTCGCCTTTTTTCTAAATAAAAGCCTCTGCCTTGCTCTCCTACCTTGAGTGTGTGCGAAGTTCATTCTTCGGTTCCGTGAACAAGAACCCCGATATCAGTATCATTCATTATTGTTCAGCTTCCACTCAACCACCTCCGCCAAGTGAGCTATGAATATATTGAAAAAATAGCCAATTGGCCACGGGCTGAGGGATGGCTTCTCCCCACAATCCCCCTCTCCCTCCAATAGACCTGCGGAAGCCCTTGCTAGGGTTTGCAGCCCCCTTTCCTCCCACTCTTCGGAAGGCGGGCTCTAAGGGGCGCGGATGGGACCCCGGCCCCCAGGTAGGAGCGGCCGCAGCCAGGGGACCGCCCCTGAGCAAGGGCGACCCCCTCGCCCCGGCCCCCGCCGTGCCCGCCCCGGCCGCTGCGGGGCGCTGCGGCCCCAGCGCAGGAGCGGGCACGGCGGGGGCCGGGGCGAGGGCCGTGCGGGCTGCGGGCGCGGCGGGTTGGGCCACAGGTAAGCTGCGGGAGCGCAGCCGCGCGGGCGGGCAGCCGAGGCCCGGGGCCGCCGGAGCCAGCGGAGCCCGTCCCCATCGCCTCCCCTCGTGCCCCTCACCCCCTGTCGCCGGCAGTGGCCCCTGCGGCGCGGACGCCCGGAGCGCGAGAGGAAGGTACCGTGCGCCCTCGCCGGTCCCTCGGACCCCTCGGGGTCTGAGAGCCGGCGCCCCAGCTCCCGGGGACCCCTGATCCGGGGAGGTCGGCGTCTGCCCGGGGCGGAGACCCAGCCGCACGCGTTGCCCCCTCTGGGCAAGCCGGCGGGAGGGGGCTTCTCCCGGGGTCCCTCCCTTATTAACGCTTTGCCTAGAACATCGAACTTTGAGGCGGGGAACAGAGAACTTTGTCGTCTTTGCTCAGCCCCTTCCTCGTTCTACATTATGATGAAAGAGTTTGGAGAAAGTGGTGGTGGGAGGCGGGGATCACCTGGTATTTCGCCCGGACCCGGTGGCCGGCGGTCTGCGGGGGTGCAGGAGGGTCCCCTCTGGTCGCCTAGCGCGCCCCGCCGTCCCCGGGCCTGCGGGCTGGCCTTAGAGAGCCGGGGCTCGGCCCGGACGCGCCAGCAGCCTGCCCCTCATCCCCTGGCCCCTCTGAGGGCTGCAAAGGGGTGCAGGCCCGAGAGGGTGTGCGCAGTTTTCCTGCCCCGGGGAGATCCGCTGTGGCTGGATTGAAGCTCTGTAAAGAGGTAGCAAGGGCCGTCTCCCGGGGCCAGGAAGCTAGCACTTGGGTTTGAGTTCAGACACCAGCTTGACGACACTGGTTTGGGGGATTTAAGTGTGACCCTTCCGGAAGATTTGGGGGCCGGGAGACGAAGCAGAGCATTGTGTGAGACCCGAGAGGGAATGAATTTCATAAAGCTGGTCAAGAATGTTTTCCCCGAATCGTAGTGAGATGGTGCAAGTAGTGGTTAAAACGTACACTTTGGCGTCGTGAGATTGTTATCTTGATACGACCACTTGTTAGGTATGTGACTTTGGAAAACCCACTTCTTTAAACCTTTAATGTTTTCCCCGAATTGTAGTGAGATGGTGCAAGTAGTGGTTAAAACGTACACTTTGGCGTCGTGAGATTGTTATCTTGATACGACCACTTGTTAGGTATGTGACTTTGGAAAACCCACTTCTTTAAACCTTAGGTTTTAGAACTGTAAACTGGGTGTATTATACATAACCTGGTAGTGGTGTTGTGGAAATTGAATGAAGGGATGCAAGTAAAAATGCCTGGCATACCGCTCTAGATCATTAGGCATCCTTTCTGTGAACCTGTTGGATACTGATATTTGTGTGTCGGTAATACCTACCAGGCCAGGCAGTGTAAGTGGAAGGGGCCTGGGCAATGAAGACAAACACCTGGGGCCATAATGGGGCCACAATGTACTTACTTACTAATTGTCTCTGAGAGGTTTCCCATCTTTAAAACAGCAATAGCAACCTGTTGTTCTTGCCAGTAGAAGTTGGGACTGTGCATCTTTAACTTACTTCTATCATTCCTAGCAGGTGCTTAGCACAGGGCAAACAAAGATTTTTTTTTTTAATTAGGGATATTTGTTAAAATTGGAAGAGTTTTCTGCTCTCCAGCTCATAAGTAGAAGGGGAGAGTAGGAGATGGGTGAAATGGAGTAAAAGAGTTGGGAAACAACTAGTTGCACATTATTGGGAGGTATAAACCACTGCATCAAAGAAATGCTAATTCAACTCCTTATTCCTCCATGATGGCACCAAAAATTAACTTTCACTTTCCACTTAAACCCATCACCTCTCCAGTGGCCCTTTAGCTAAGCTTACACCCCAAGTAAAAGCTGATGGCTTGTGATCCAACCCAGTTTTGAGACAAGGCACACTTCCATGCTGCCACTGTGAAATATGTATTCAGAAAGTGTTAAGCTTAAGGAGCAATTAAAAGAATAAGAATAAAACATACACCCAACTACCCATCACGAAACTGAAGAACCAGAGCATCTCCGGGACCTCAGAGCCCCCGGTACCCCTCCCCATGGCCTTCCACTCACTGCTGCTTCTCCCCCCAAGGAACCACTAGTTTGGATTTGGTGTTAATTTTTCCCTTGCTTTTCACACATAACATCTTACATGAAAAACCCTGTGAGAGGGAAGTTTCCGAACAAGTATTTCCACAATAACCTCTAGCGTTCTTATTGGACTTAAAAGCAGATTGAGAGTAAGATGCAAATCACGAAAGAGCTGGAAGTCTCAAAGACCTGGGATAGGGCACCCTCGCAAGGTATTCCCCCGGTTTACTTGGCACAGGCTTCATGGGTGTGTTCCGACTGTGTAGGGGAGGCCCAGTCTCTTCCAACATAGCTTGGAGGCTGTAATTTTAAAAGCATCTCCTGAGTCCCTAAGAATTGGAAAAACAGTAATTTGCATGTGTGTGTTTTAGAAGTTTTTTTTAAAAAATACAAATTATCCAGGGGCTACTGTGTGGAATTTGAAGGATTAAGCTGTCTGAGAGCAACCTTTAAAAAATAGTTTTAACCCAAATTATTCTTTTCCTTGTGAGTACGTTTGTGTTGTGGACTTTAAGTTATTTCTTCAGGGTCGCAGCTCTGCTTGGTGAATCTTGTACAGCTCTAACACTTCTTGGTTAAGACAGAAATTCCTAAACTTGGTTCGTGGCACCCTTAGTATCTCAGTAATTTTTTCCACAGTGCCCTAATGTTAAATAGTAGTAGTGGGTTCAAACAGCTTAATAAGTATTTAAGTCCTAACCACATAGAAGCTGTTTTAAAAGTGTATATACATAAATTGAGAGAAAAAAAATTATGTCATTCTTAAATAACCACAATTTCAGACATGATGTGTGTGCCTGTACTACTTCCTAAACCTTGGGATCAGTTGGATACCTCCACTCATACTTCCTATTCCACATTCATTTTTCTGCAGCACTTGCTCTTTATCACCGCAACCAGTGAAAATCCAAGCTTTGCAAAGATGCAGTGTTGTTGATAGGATCCTGATGTGATCTAATGTTGAAACTGTGACTGCTTCCAATCTGTAGATGTAGCAGTGGCCAACACGTTGAGTACACTGTATTTCCCTTGAGAATTTTCAAATATTCCAAGCTGTCCCTGTGAACTTGCTATGGCCCCTGGAGGGCCTTGGTGCACAGTTCGGGAAGTCTAAGGTAAGACCCTCTTCTGGAGAGAGCAGTTATTAAGGATGGGGTCTGCCTGAAGTAGCCCCAGGTTAAGCTTCTTTGTGGAGTGGGCTAAGTCTTGTTTTCCTATCTTTGTAAAATGGAGTAGCTAAAGCCTACCTCATAGGGTCATTAGGAGGATTAAACTAGATAATGTACATAAAGTGTCTATAAAGGAGCTAGAATATAACAGTCTGAAGAAATGGTAGCTGTTTCATTATTGTTAAATAGTACTAAATAACTGTCCAGTGATAGGTATATATCATTGTCTGTATTTAAAAATAGCCAGTACTTCAAATCTTAATCTTAGCAAGTAAATTATGAATTAGTTCACATTATAAAATTATTTATCATTTTTCAAAATTTATCATTTCAAATGAAAATATCATTTTCAAATTCCACTTAACGGGCTAGAGTGGACTTAGGATCTTGGGAGGGAGGTATTTTGTCTTGTGTCTTGAGAGTTTGGACATGGGTTACAGGCCTGAAAATGTTTCAGGTAGGATTTTACTTATGCATAAATTTATAGTACAGGGAGGCAGATAATTGTTTCAGATGAAACAGTTGTATTAAACTTCAGGGCATCCCTTGATAATTCCTTCAATCAGTGTTACTTGTTGACCTTCGAAGGAAAGGCTGCTTGAAAAACAATGTCACAGACGGCTGGCACGGTGCCTTTAGGAAACATAGACCCTTCTTCCCTGCCCCGTTCATTTTCTCTACCCCAAACCTAAGCTAAGACCTGGTGCTATTTTAACAATCTGTGAGAATACACTCAATAATATTTCCCTAGTGTGATTGTCAATTTTACAGCTACTTTCTTCAGTCATTTATTGTTAGGAAGCCCTTGCAGAACCATAGGTGAGGCTTCCAAATTGACAAACATTACTGGATACCATTTTTATCTGTTTTGGCTCATATGTTGAAGGCTTTCAATTTCTTTGTAAAATTTGGAAATACATGTGTGTGGGAGAAAGTACTTTGATTCTTCTTAACTAGTTCTCCTTTTTCCATTTGATGCCCAGCTAAGAAATCATTAACATTATTTTCAGTTAACATTGATCCTTTTAAAAAAATAAATAAGAACTTCAAATCTTTCTCTGGGTTAAACTGCTTATATTTAATATCAGCATCTTGTGATTTGAGGGTACAAAGTAGAAGACTATATTGTAGATAATAAAATGTGGCTAAGAGTGATTGTTTTCCCTTTTTTGTCTGTTAGTCTTTTACTAAAAATTGAAAGTCGGAAAGTTTGAGCATCCATTTCACTATTAGAATTGATAGTCTAGGCATAAAGATCTTTAGGAGATGCTTGACTCTTAGTGTTTTCACACAAAGCTATGAAAGGGTGTGTAAGGATTAAAGCATTTTATTTAAATTTGGGAGTTTATTGGCAGCGGAAGTGGCCTTAACTCAATTCCAACATCACGGATTTATCCTCGGTACAAGAACAGAGA